TATCAGTTAGTACTTAGTAGGAGAGTAGTCATATCAAAACTAGAGTTTGTAAGGACATTTAAGGTTTTCAAAGCTTGATTTGTTTGTTTACTCTGTAGTCTGGTTCTGGGTATGTATCTTCGGTAGTTTCATCTGCTGGTGATGTTCAAGAGCGTGATTTGAAAATCAAAGAGTGGGAGGCTAGAATCTTACAAGAGGAAATGGCTGCTAGTCAGGGCATAACTATTAGAAGACGGCCACCAATTGCTCCTCCTTCGGGTTATGATGGTCCATTTGAGGTTCAAATACAGGATATGTCAAACACTCCTCGTAACATTTTGGAGGAGATTATATGGTACAAGGATGTTGAGGTTTCACAGGTATACTAATCTGCTACTTCCTGTCAATAATGTTATCATTTAAGTGGTCTCTCACACTTGTGCTCTTATTAGTTCAAGGAAAGAAGACCTCTTGATGATTTGGAAAAGGCAATTGATGATGCTCCTCCAGCAAGAGATTTTATTGGCGCTTTAAGAGCAGCTTACCAACGGACAGGATTGCCTGGTTTGATTGCTGAAGTTAAGAAGGCTTCACCTAGTAGAGGCATTTTAAGAGAGGACTTCAATCCAGTATGGATGCTTCTTTCTCTCTATTGTATTTTGTTTCATATTACCTTCAATGCCACCCTCACCAAAACAAAAAAAAGAAAAAAAGAAAAAAGAGAGATCGGGATACATCTCGTATGAGATTTTAGACGTTCTTGTTGCTGTGTGTTTTCCTGGGCTTCCTCATCTTTTCCTGAGAGTGTGTCTTATTAGATGTTATTTAAGCCTCGATGTAAGGATGCATAATTTCTGTACAGTGATTTGATTTCATATCTTCTGACATGCAGTGGTTGTTTTCCTTGGGTAAAAAACCATTTCATGTGCTCTATTCCGAGCTGTTAATTTGACCTCAGATTTCAAGATTTTTTCTTTCTGCAGTATGCTTGTTAACTTTGTTTATAAGACTAGGCTTGTTTTCAACCAGATAAGAATTTTTAAGTATGACAGTGAGCTAAATCAGATTGGTCACATTGCAATACCTTTTGGTATTGAGAACTAAACATAGGCTGCTTCTGTAAGTTTACTACGCAGATGATTATTGTCTTTGACTTTGTTTAGCTAAATATCTTAATTGGATAACACAGAGATTGCAAACCAACTATTGACCTCATTTCTCTCCTTGCATATTCACTTTTCATTGGCCAGGGTAGAAGTGGGTGAATGTTAAAGTTTTTTCTTGCAACAATCAATATATTAACTATCAACTTTTACGATAGGTAGAAGTTGCTAAAGCCTATGAGAAAGGTGGTGCTGCATGCCTCAGTGTTCTGACAGATGAAAAGTTTTTTCAGGTTGAACTCTTGTGGCTCTATATCTCTGCATTTTGTTCATAGCTATTTAGTTGAGTCATTGATTTCCTTCTAACTTTATGAGCAGGGATGTTTTGAGAATTTGGAGGCTATACGCAATGCTGGTGTAAAGGTTGGTATACGATTGTCCACTGCGTTTTTTGTCCATGATTTGCAGTCATTCATCAAATTAAACTTACTTTTGCCTTGCAGTGCCCTCTTCTATGCAAAGAATTTATAGTAGATGCTTGGCAAATATATTATGCTCGCACCAAAGGAGCTGATGCTGTTCTTTTGATCGCTGGAGTTCTGCCTGATCTGGATATTAAATACTTCTTGAATCTGTGCAAGAAATTGGGGTTGGCGGCTCTTGTTGAGGTTTGTTTGCGAAGTTCCTTTTTGCTCTATCACTGTTGTTTCCATGATTCTGCTCTAGCTTCAGCTGTTGCAAGTCTGTTAACTGTTATGAGCTGTAATAACTATTTGGTTCCTCCCATGTAATTCTGTTTGCACTTTGCATTATAAACCAAATACTTAGTCTCTAAAGCTTGGATGCCATGATATGACATGGCACCTTTGTGCTTCAAAATGTGCCAAAAATCCAAGATAATCGTTGTCCTTAGGTTTGAGTAACACCATCATAGGGAGAAGTTAGAGTATGTTATTTATACAAAAAGTCATGTTATTACCATTTGTTCAGATGATTTTTGATTGGTTGGCATATTTTTGCTGTAAATTTTTATTAGAGTTATTTTGGCTTTAACACATGAAGAATTCCCTTTGTGTATGCCTTTTCTTTTAAGGTACATGACAAAATGGAAATGGATCGTGTGCTTGGAATTGAAGGAATCGAACTTATCGGGATTAACAACCGTGACCTTGGTAATACTTTCCTTATCATTTTAACTTATATTTTTGATTGTCATCTTATTAGTGAAGGGCATAGAATATTCTATCATTCTAAACAAGTTGTACAACTTGCGCCTGTCCAGAGACATTTAAGGTTGACATTGGCAACACCAAGAAGCTTCTTGATGCAAGACGTCTAAAGATTCTCAGTCAGAGAGATATCATAGTAAGTGTTAATTTTGATTCTCTTGTTTGCTCTGAGTGACTAGTGGCTGCTTGTTTTAAATTTCTTCTTCTCCATCGTTTCTGCGGTTCCCCCAGTATTTTCTCTTATGCCAAACCCCTTGATTTCAGGTGGTTGGAGAGTCAGGCTTATTTACACCTGCTGATATTAATTATGTTCAAGAGGCTGGTGTGAAAGCGGTTAGTTCTGTAAATTTTGTTGCCATCTATGCTGATATGATCCTAAATATTGGGTGCATATTTTTGTTTAAGTAGCATGGTTTCGTGCTTGGTCTATATCATGTATGCAATTCAGAGGATTTCTGATCCTTCCAATCTATAACAGCAGTTAAAATATATATTCTCCCTTTAAAATTATAAACAAGTGCCGTTGATTGGAACCTTTTTCCGAGGAGGAGGAGGGGGGGGGGGCTGTCGTTGGAAAGATCTGTGACCCATTGGGCACACCTCTTCGAAAGCTACAAAAACATAGTTTTCACACCAAACTTAAGGTAGGTCGGTGAATATTTTCCTTGTAACCTTTGTGTAATTAAGCCAAACTCAAGGTTGCTCAATGAATATCTCCCTTGTATCCTTTTGTACATCCTACACAAAGTGTTATCTAATGTGTTGTTTTCCGTTTTAAAGATAATTGTTTGTCGTTGTAGGTTTTGGTTGGGGAGTCCCTTGTCAAACAAACTGACCCAGCCAAAGGAATCGCTACTCTATTTGGTAAAGACATATCGCCGTGAGTTGCTAAGTCACACAATGCCGGCCAGTTACAAATCAGAACCAAGAGACATTCACTCTGTCTTCTTCAAACTCCCTACATTGTGCATTGCCCAATAAATGCAGAGCTAATGGTTCTGTTTGCCCTGCATCTCAATTATGTTGTATGTTGTTGCAACTCTGATTAGATAGTATATTTAATAAAACTGATGCATGTAACAGGAAAATAAGACAATGCATTAGAGAAATAAAGGAGGGATACTATTTTTGATGCCTTAGGTGTTGGACGCACTTGAGCTGATCTTGTGTTCTATAAAAACATGTTCAGAGGCGTGACATTGTATTTTTACATGTAGCTGCCGAACTATATATATTTTGTTTTGCGTTCTAGATTTGTAGCCCTAATAACCCATAATTTGTAGCCTCAATGAAGTACTCCGTAGTGTTGTAAGAAAGCATACTCCGTAATAAGCCAGTTTTTATATCAATTTCTTCAGTTTATTTAATTTTTCATTGCATTGTAAGCCGAAGGAAATGATACGTAGTACATAGAGCTACAATGATAAGGATTAAATCGACATGTAATTTTGTTATAGACTATTGAGTAAGGAGTACAATGATAAGGATTAAGGAGTACGGAGTATGTATTTAAAATTTGGGTTAAAGTACTTATGGGTAATCATAAGGGCTATATATATCATTATCATTATGCTAAACTTAAGTACTCAGTAATTGGGATTTAATGGATATGTTTCAGACTTTCAGTGGTATTGGGAAGAGGCTAATTATAAGTTGACCTTTTGGAAGACTGAAGTCTATGCATTAACTTAGCGTAGCTTACGAGAGCATTTATCGCCAGTTGGAAACCTCTCTTAAAATCATATAGGCTTTAGACTTTTAGAGTAAGTTCAATTGACCTCCTAAAGGGAAATGTTTTTTTTTTTTTTTTTTTTTTTTTTTTTTTTTTTTTTTTTTAAAAGGAAAATAATTTTGGCACACAATAAATTTATTATGACACTCTATGTGAGAGCACAGTTTTTGGCACACAATCCGTTTATTATGGTACACCTTTATATGAAATATGAAATTATATCGGTACCAAAAATAAGTTTTTGGCACACAATACGTTTATTATGGCACTCTCTATGTGAGAGCACTTATTATGGCACTCTCTATGGTACGTATAAAATTAGGAATTCATGACAAAAACACGTGTAAATAGTGTTTATATTTTCATAATTTCCTAACTTTACACAATTTTCTATTACGTATTTGCTTATATGTAGCCCTAATGAGTATGTATAACATGTTCCATATTTTTATTATATCAATTTTTTAAACTTCTTACTACGAATAATATATTGGAGCGAGGGCAGAGTCAACATGGAGCAAGTGAGTAACAAATATTAGTAGTTAAAATTATACATTAACACATATGTCAATCAAAGTGTTGTGAAATGTGAATATGAGTAATATAAAACGAAGGGAGTATATAAATTATGACAATGGCCGTTTTTCGTTACCTAGCATAAAAAAGGAAAAAAAAAAAAAACACTGTACATTTTGCGAGCCCCGGAATCAACAGTGTGCATGTGCTAACAATGATCCATTTGGCCGGTGTAAAGACTAAAGGAGACACCCCCACAAAAAAAATAAAAAAATAAAAAAAGGTACACTTAACCACTTCTACTTATACAAATTGAATTCAACCATGTTTTTTTGTTGCAAACTTAAAATAAAGGTTTTTATTTTACGAATCCAAGACCACAGTCCATGAGTCCACCAGTCTACCACTATAATAATAAGTGGGTTCTTTGACCATGATTGAACTTCCCACTTTTTTCCTGTGTTTATATTGGTCTGTGCTTTTTGCAACTTTCCCAGATCATGCTTTTCATTTTTCTCTCTCCTCTATTTATACCTACCAAATTCCACTCTCTTTTCTTCACCAAAATCACCATTTCCTCTGTTTTTCTCTCTTAAAAATTCAATCTTTTTACAAAGTTTCAATCTTTACTGAGCTTTTTTCACAAAGTTTCAATCTTTACTGATAATAATGGCTGCATCATCTTCTCTTTTATCAAATGCCATTTCTTCTTCTATAAAAACTTGCCAAAAGTCTAAATCTTTTGCATTTTCTCCTGCTAAATTTGGTGAAGTTGGGTTTAAATCTTCTGGGTTTTCTCTTACCAACAAATCCCTGAAGTCTAACTCTGCAAATCAGCAGTCTTTCAGATCTTTCACTTGCAGGAACTCTTCTGATCGTTCAGAAAGTATGCATAAACTTCAAGCTTCATTTAAAATATTTTTATAATTTTTTTAGAATTATGTTGCTAATTTTTTTTATTTTGTGGGTAATTTTCAGATGATAAGGTTCATGAATTCAGTGTTTATGAGATCAATGAGCGAGATCGTGAAAGTCCTGCTGTTCTGAAACTTAGCAAGAAACCTGTTTTTGCTCTTGGTGACTTGATTCCATTCACCAACAAGGTATTAATTTTTACCTTTTTTTTTCCTGCATTTTCTGTTTTTAAAAAGAAATTAATTTTGTATAGATTAATTTTGTTCTTGATGTTATTTATCTTAAGCATTGATCGTACTTTTTGTGTTAATTGGTCTAGATTTCTAGAATGTCACCATTTTCACCAATATAGTTTTTTTTTTTTTTCCAATGTGTAACACTTTTAACTTTTACATTAGTTCTCGTACTTTTTAGCCTTTTATGCCGATTAATGCGCACTTTAATTATTATGTACGAGTATTTAACTAAGGAGTATTTGTAGTTTTTTTTTTTTTTTTTTTGAAGGAGTATTTGTAGTTTATACAATGAGTAGTATTTTTTTTTATATGAATACGAGTATAATGTACAAAAAAAATTAAGATTTTACTTGTATTAAGAAATGAAAGAAGTATTTTATTTTGGCAACTTCTTAATACGTAGTAATAAGGGTGAAAGTGAAACTGCTCCAATGATTTCTAAAAATTGATAGATAATGGTAATTACTTTTGATGGCAATTTCCCAACAATTTTCTCCTTGACTTTTTTGTTTGGAATATTTAAGACTTGATTATATTTACGGAGTAAATGGTATGGATTGATGTTGTACACTTGTACTTGATGTAATACTCAAATTTTTTTTTTTTTGATGTAATACTCATTTGTTATTAAACAATTTTACCATTTTGAAGATTCATGTTTGTTGTTACACAACCTTATACTTTAGTCTAATCTGTAAATATGACTATGTTTTCCTTTACATAAAAGTAACAAGAGACGGTTAAAAAGAATTAAAATCGACGAAAAAGGGTACTCATATATATTTTGTGATGGAACAGTTGTACACAGGGGACTTGGAAACAAGGCTAGGAATAACAGCAGGAATATGCATCTTAATCCAAAACAAGCCAGAAAAGAATGGTGACAGATATGAAGCAGCATACAGCATGTACTTTGGAGATTATGGTCACATTTCAATCCAAGGACCATACTTAACCTATGATGAATCATATTTATCAATCACGGGCGGTTCAGGGATCTTCGAGGGAGCCTATGGACAGGTGAAATTGCAACAAATTGTGTACCCATTCAAGATTTTCTACACCTTATATTTGAAGGGAATCAAGGGTGACTTGCCTAAGGTTCTCCTATGTAAGCCGGTCGAGCCTCACCCTGGTGTTGAGCCCTCTCCTGCTGCTAAGGCCACTCTTCCTGAAGCTGCTATCCCTAATTTCACTGATTGATTAAGTAGTTAGTAAATAATTATGTGTTAAATGACTTAAACTGAGCATCTATCTATGTTTTGTTCGTTTAGATTTAAGGGGAGGTCTAGTTTGGTTGTGGACTTGTGTTAGTATGGAGCATTTTTTTAAATTTTCGTCGTTTCACTTAGCTTGTTTCTAATGAATAAAATCGTAATATTTTTGTACCGAATAATTATTTTGCGTGTTGTTGTTGAATCTTTCAATTTAATTTTATGGCGTACCATTATATACTTGGTTTGAGATTTATTAATTCTAAGTTCATTGTTAATTATAAATATTTAACATTACTAGGCTTCATATTTTCTCATCACAAGGAAAAAACGAGTCTTAGATTCATAACTATATATTATGGAGTGTAATTGCAATTTATGAAAGTAGACCTTTGTTGACTAAAGTACGATTTAGTCATTAAAATTATGGCATTAATTAACCAATTTACGTTGTTTTGGTATGGATAAAAATCTGGCAATTAAAGTACTTTCATGTTCCGTACAATTTTGTTAGCAAAATCTAAAAAATTACGGAGTATAAATATATGAATCAAGGGGAAACGTTAGTGGACCTATGTCAACTTTAAAAGTTTTCATTGTCTTTGGAAAAAAAAAAGTTGTAGTGGAGCTTAAGAATGATGTTGATTTTACAATGAAAGCTTTTGCTGCATTTTTTATAAGCAGTAATTAAAAAGGACCCTATTGAAACTAGGTGGTCTTTGGGAAAATGAAAACGTGCCAAGAAATGTAATGGATTGCCTTTGCTGCATTTTTTATAAGCATTAATTAAAAAGGACCCTATTGAAACGGTACTCGTAATTTCTCAAGGTCACTCTAGTCCCGCTTTGCAGGTTAAACTCATTGAGATAGAGGGAGAAGGATAAGAAAAGCTTCAACTCCAAAGAGCCATGAGGGTATGAGTGAGAATCAATCTTAAGATCTTCTGGAATGGAAAAGGAAGCTCTAACTATTTGAGCTATCCATTACTCTCACCTTTAAGTCAGTATTATCATTTGCTTCATGAATTTACTTATATGTTGTACGCATACATTATGCCCATTATATTAGGCACGCCTATCTTGAAACAATGAAACTAAGTAGTACAAGTACTTGGTATGAGTTTCGTCTCAAGATCATGGGTTCGATTCATACCTAACCGGTTAACCCGTGCATTCCCCCCCCCCACACAACTAACATGTGTATCTCGAAACGAGGAAATACAAGTCAATCACGATGCTTTACCAACTTTGTAAATCAGGGGGTATATTGGTAATTTCAGCAATAAAAAATGGGAACAAATAAGTAATTGAAATCTTCTTCTCTTCTCACATCGGTAAATCAATGGCTTTTTAAACTGTTCTCCTCCCTCCTCCCCATGAGCATTACCGTTATCGTTGAGATGAAAACTCGCCACGAGGAAGATGCTTTCCCTAAAGGGTTAGTATGGCCCTAAATTTACATTCTTTGTTACTAGGGTGTCGTTTTATTACCGTCGCGAAGCGGCATTGGGTCATTGCGATTGAGAAAGGATAAACAAGAAGAGGAAAGCCTCCGTAGTTGATCGACGGGAAGACAGATTTGTGGCGGCTGTGATGGACTTCGAGCAGTGGTAGTTGTTGCGAACTTGCGATCGTGTTATTGACTATTGAGTGGATCTGAAATCTTAAAATCTTTTTTTTTTTTTTTTTAAATGTTACAAAAAAATACTCAATTGCCACCTAATTTACAATATTTGTTGATCAGGCTGATTGAATGGGTATTCCCCTCTTGAAACACCCTTTGATGTACATCTTCTAAGCTCTAACTAAGTTAAGTTACTTGCAAAATTACTCCACCAATAATCAGTATCCATTTGTCCTTTATCAAGATTAAAACAAAATCAACGAAATCCAAAAGAACAAGTTTGATCAGAATTAAAACTTAACAACTCAAAATCTCTCTCTTGTATAGAAACATTGTGTTCTTAGATTAACAACAAGACTTTCACACGACCTATTTTCTCTCTCCTTGCCTTTTCAGATCATCAACAAATCAAAATAATATGTCAAAACAATGTTCAATTTCCTTCTTCATCTTCTTCCTCTGAACTTCTGCAACAAATCTTGATCAAATCAATGGTTGTTGCAGTAGAAGCTCGCAAGTTCAGCCTTCCTTACCTTTCTCTCTCTTCTCCTAAGGTTACTTCCTTTCTTTACGACCCCAATTCCCTTTCTTTAGCTTTGATGCATTCTGACTCTACTTTCTCTCTCTTCCCTTCGTTTTCCCCCTTTTCAATTTCCAATTTACCCCCTCCTCAAACCCTAATTCCCCCTCCTTCTTCTTCTGCTTGTTTTGTGCCTCTTAATTCTAACCCTAACCCTAAAATTGTTGATGGGGTTTTGCCAGAAGATGATAAAAGGGTTGTTTTCGTTGCTGCTGGGCCCTACAATGGTGGGTCTAGGGTTGTTTTGAGATTTTATTTGTTGGGTTTTGATGGGAAATTTGTGAATGTACCTCAGGTTGTTTGTAGTCAAAATGGGGTTAGTTTTGATAGGAAATTGGGTGTGATTGTGGATGTAAGTCATGGGATGAAGGTTATGATTTCTGGGTCGATTAATTATTTGGCTTTGTACTCAGCTTCAGGGGGGAAAGTATGGGTTTTTGGGGTGAAATTGATTGGGGATGGGAGGAGTTTGAGGTTAGTGAAGTGTGCTGTGATTGATTGTAGGTTTCCAATTTCGTCGATTTGCCTTTCGTTTGGGTTTTTGATCTTAGGGGAGATGAGAGGGGTACGGGTTTTTCCATTGCGTGTATTGGTGAAAGGGAGGGTTGGGAGTAAAAGGAGGTTGAGAGTAGCGAGAGGGAAGGGTGAGAATTCGAATGCTGAGGAGCGGGAGGTTAGTGTGAAAGCCGAGGGGCGGAATTCCACTGTGCCGAATGGGGGTATGAAGCTTGTTGATGAGAGCAATGAGATTGATAAGAGCATTGGGAATTTGAGTTTATCTAAGGTGTTGCCTAATGGGTATGGTAATAGTGTTCTTGATGGTGTGTCCTCAAGTTCATATTCTGATGGAACTGGTGAGTATACAATTATGCAACATTTATTGGTTAATGACTTAATGTGGTGAATTTTGTTTTGGGTGTGCACTTTAAATCAATAAAGATATTGATTATTTAGCTAATTGCTTATTTTTTAACTAGTAGAGTTTGGTTATATTAAATAGAAGAACTTGTGTCTTATTGCTAAGCTAGTTAACACGAATAGTAGTGCTCAAGGGAATTCAATTATAACTGTAATGATGTTGATGGCACATAAATAGATCAAATTGTTATTATTATTTGAAATTTGTTACTTCTTTGTATTCCGAATCTTTACTGTTGCTATCATGACTTCATGAGATATTGTGTAAATGCTTGCAGGATCAGTTACTCTTGCTTGTTTGGTTGTGCCTTGTTGGCAACTTGGGATGTATACCTATGCTTTTGACTGATGCTTATTTGTTATCCATGCCCATTGTTGAATTTTCTGTATCACCGCGACAAACTGTTAATCTATTCAGCATCCATTCTGATTGATTTGCAAAAAAATAGCCACCAATTTTGAGTAATTCTATGTTTTGTATGAGCCAATGAAGTGATTATTGAGACCAGAACATTTAAAGCTTATTTAAGGAAAAGCCTTGATTGGCTGTGTGTTAGGGTGGAATCAAATTAACTTATATAATGGGATCTCTTCATAAATACGTTGAGGCTTATGAGTTATGACTGAAATCTAGCTGTAGTACTTTATATATGTGATGCAAATTAACCACTCTTCTTGATGTGGTTTAATGAGTGTGCATGCTACCTGTATGTTCAATAGCGATCTGCTAAAGCAGTTATTCTCCTTTCTTCAATATTATAGCTTCATTCTCTAAACTAGATGCCCGTCGTATCCTCAAAGCTTCTGTGCTCTATCTCTCTGCTTTTTATTATTTCATCTGCATGTGTTTGTGTTTTAGATTTCTTTACTTTTTTACCTTTTTTTTTTAATTTAATATTATCTTATATTTCCTGATTACTTGATTAGTGCCGCCAGCCGCTTTTTCTTGTTTTAGTATATTATTATGATTGCTAATGCATTCACAATTTCATCATGAGATTGAGCTTTCAAACAAGCACTATGTACTAATATGCCGACAGAAATTTTATGTCCTTGTCATCTACACTTGCTACAATCTTGATCTTCATGGAAATATCTTAGAGTTTTATTGTTGAAAATTAAATCTTGAAAGTCTTAATGGTGCCATTGGCTACAGCAGCTGATGTTGTTCTGTAACTCCAGTGAAGCCGAGGTCTTTAAAATTTCGTCAAGACTCTGGTGAATGGGGAATGCAGTTTTTTTTGTTCAATGATTATGTCCTTGAAGGGGTTAGTTTCAAATTGATGCCGTATAAGAAAACAAAGGCAATTTCTATCCAAGCTATTTCAAAGGAGAAGTTTCTGATTCTGGATTCAAATGGAGTTGTGCATGTACTTCATGTGTCAAACTCTGGCTCTTCTCGAATGAGACAGTTATCTTGTACCATCCAAGTTCAGCATTTGGCTGCTTTTCCTGATGCATCTGCTGGTGGGCTTCCCTTCTACTTCTTTACGCTTGTTTGTTGTTTAGAATTTTTTACATGATCTTTCTAAAGTCTTCATCCTCACCCTCAGACAAGGAATTTTTTAAAAGAGAGGAAAATATGAAAAGGAAGAAGGTAAGAAGGATATTATGAATTTATTTTAGATTTTGATAAGGAGAACTCTGAAACTTGTATTTTATAAATGATCTCATTTCAATTATTAAAGTAGGAAAAATTGGAGAGTTAAATAAATTTATAGCATTATACTGTATGTAATATCATAATCTTCTTTGTCTTACTGCATAACCAATTCATGAGATATCTCCATTTTAACATAATATAGCCTTAGGGTGCATCTTTTTAAACTTAAAAATCCCAAAGTTATAAGCTCTAAACTGAACTTTTCTTTACCTGTGAAGTGACTCAATTGAGCTTTAAAGCTCTGCTTGGAAATTATTACCCCTAAATGAACTTATCTGAATCGATTATGGGTGTAATATGAATTTATCTTAACTTGACCCTTTTTTTTTTTTTTTTTTTTTTTTTTTTTTTTTTGTTAAGGTGTTTAAAAAAGGCCTTAGTATGGGGTACAGTTGATAGTTACATGTGACCTTCGATCTAAAGCAATGGCATCTGTTTTAAAAAGTGTTTACGGTGATATCGTGATACCAACACTATTTGATGGTGACATGATGCACATTGCTAGTTCCCAGTTCGATTAGGATGACATTTGCACCTTTTTTTAATCCAACTGAAAGTTGTGCTTTATATATGATTGTGCAGATTCTCCCTCTCTTTGGATGTCTGATGGACTTAATTCTGTGCACGTGATGGTTATTCCTAATTCAGATACCACAGAAGAGGAAAATGACATGAGCAACAATGAAGGAGAGATCATTCAAAGTTCAGGTTTGCACAATGCCACCAATTTATCTATTAATTTATGGCGTGAGGAAAGGAAAGTTATTTATTCCTACTAGGGATGAATGGATGATGTGTTTGTTGTGGTTCTCTTTTCATAATGGCCTTGATTAATTAAGATTTACTTAATTATGCTCCATAAGCTAAGTATTACGATCTAGTAATGTTGTAATGATTGGTGGAGATATGTTTTCCCATGTTCTCCAGTAAAGGCAAAAAATTGTAGTTTTTTTTAAAAAATAAAATAAAAAAAATTCATTCTAACATTCTCAATCTGCTAGTTACCCAAGTGATATTTACAAGCGAGAGCGTTCAGGATATGGTGCCCTTGGCTGCAAACAGATTCTTGGTCCTTGGTCAAGGTAACTTTAGCTTAGCAATTGAAATACTTTCATTTAGGTGAATGAAAATGTGACTATATGTAACCTATTCTTTTCTCAGAAATCATGCAATGTCTTTTTTACGCCAACTCATGCTAGATTTTTTGAAGTAACTTAATTTATTATGTGGTTAACCAGCAATCAGCGTACGCAAATAATTCGCTATATAATTTGCTTGCTCCTATTGTTATCATTATTGGTATCCACTTCTTAGTAACTGTAGTTGTATATAGGTTTAAGTAGTATTGTTCTCATTTCATTAATAAAAGATGATTTTTTTTTTTTATTATTATTATTTTTTAAATCTCACTGGTAAACATGGTTAGGTTCTGTACTTCTGTTGGAATGGATAGTGATTATGTGAATGGTATATGCACAGTCCTTAAGAATAAAACAGATGTTTACTTATCCCTTATTTCAAGGTGTTATCAATTTTTTTTTACCAAGGTGGTATATGAGATTTGAGAAGGGGGTAATTCATAAGTACTTTTGTAATTTTTCTTTTTCAGATAGCGTCTGTGCTTATGGAATTTCATGAAGCTTCTTATGGCATCTTTTTTTGTGATGGTAAGCCATTTAAGTATCATATTTCTCGGGGTAATAAGGGGTTTCTTTCTCTTTTGGTTATGGATAATTGGATATCTTGCTTTATTTTTTTCTATCTTTTTTCCGCTCTCTATCTTTCGCAGGACGAGGTGGTTGAAAGTAGTTTCAGCACTAATATATGACACCACTACGTGAATTAATGTTTTTTTTTTTTTTTTTTTTTTTTTTTTTTTTTTTTTTTTTTTTTTTTTTTTGTAGGTGAATTTGTCTACACGGTCAAATTTCAAGTCTTTTGAGTAATGGGCTCTACAATAGCTTTCTGTTTAGACTGTAAGTTGTCGATTCTAATAGTTCATATATTCTCTCATTTTTGTCTTTGGCTATTCTTATGTTATACTTGTTTCAGGAATCAATCAATGCACTGTTTGTTCCAGTGTCCTTTACAAACCTCTGATCTGAGCATCTGACCTTGACTTAAAGTTACAGAAGTATGAGCTACAGTTGTTATATCTTTCTGCTAGTGTGGCCTTCAGGACTGGGTGCTAGTTCAGGTATTTGGACTATCTGTTCTGCTTGTCTTTTTTTTTTGGCTTGGAATTAGACAATTAGTAGCCAGTGGAACTGATGGTAAAGCACTACAGCTGTGAAGGGGTAGGGGTGATTGAACTCAAAATATTCAAATTTGCAACCTTTGTAGAGTTTTGATAAACATATCATATGAGATCCACGTATAGCTGTATCAGGGACTTAGATGCCATACTGTCCATAAATGCTGGATAGTGGATGCTATATTTTTTTTATATATTTTTTTTTTCTTTTCTGGTCGCTTTTATAAAGATAGAAATTTTTGATGGCATTTTTTTTTGTTTGCTGCGCCCATCTTCTGTTGGTACCAGTCGTATCATTATTCAATTGGAATTTTCCACTCCTTTTATTTTTCCTGTAAAAGCCTGCGCATCTTCGATCAATGATATGCAGGCTTATTTATAGCCCTTTTGGCACAAGATCTTAAATTAGGTCAAGTGATATTAATTAGTGAGTAGATATATACTCATTATGTTTCGTAAAGGTGTTTAGGTTTCCACTTCCTTATTACTTGCCAATTCGCCATCTTCAATTTGCAACTTGGATCATAAATACCTTTAGCTCCATACAAATAAAAATAATAATAAATGATGTTATGATGCTATAAAAATATACATTTAAATAATTGCAACAAGATTACACGTGATAATTTTTATCTTATATAATTCACCCTAAGCAAGGCGATTAAAGTTATATATTTTTTACCACATGAATTGTGATAATTCCTATATGCACTTGGGTGCACCCTAGGTAATTTCTCGTCTCATTTAAAAATCTTCAAATGAGCCATTAGAAAAAAGGGTGCACTACCTCTGGGATTTCTGGTGTCGGTAAGAATCGCACCATGTACAGTAAACTGGAAATTTTTAATGGATCGGAGGAATTGATATTTTATTCAAATGTATATGGTTATTCTTCATTGATGTTTATACTACCAAAAGGTATTGACGTTAGTAAGTTAAGATCAATAAAGAAAGACATTGTATTTTGTAAGGAAGATGCAAGGAAAAAAGTTGCTCCCAAATAATTATGACCTTGCACCAAATTACCTGTTGAACCATCCGTATTTATTTATTCATACTTTCCTGCTGACATGATTTATTTATTCATTTCATGAATTTTGTCCTTTTTTTTAATGGATGCTAAGAAATTAAGAATGGTGCTTTGGAGGAGACTAGTATTTAAAAATTTAACAAGGAGATGAAGTTCCCATTGTTGTTGGTTTAATATGTGGAAAAATGGGTGCTTACAGTTTTTTAATTTGCTTGGTGCCTTTAGGCATTTAGCTATTTGCAGCTTACACTTTTTAGGATACGAGGAAATAGAGAGAAATGGAGGGGAACAGGTTCCCTTGTTTGGATAAGGGGTTGGGGGAGGTGCTGGGAGTGAGATAGAAGATCCATTTTCCCTCATTAATCACACCATCCAATGGATCCCCTCTTCCCTTTCTTTTAGCACTCCTTCCTTTCCTTCTATTTTGCTATCCAAACAAAGTGTTAAATACTTTCAGAGAATGAATTTGCACAGGAGGCTTAGTGGCTTACTATGAATGCTGTCGGATATGGAGAATTGATTAACCTTTTCATAAATTGTTGCCTATATTTTGTTGAGATTACTTGTGTTATTTTCCCTAAACATTCGTGTGCCATGCTTTTCAGGGGAAAGATTATCTGGTGATCAGTTGGATGCCTGGATATGGAAATGGAGCAGATTCTAATTCTTTCCACATACTGAGCCCTTATTCCTTTGACCAGAAGTGTGCGCATCTGCTTTTGGAAGTTTACGTATTACACAAGGCTCGTGGAGAAGAAAGGAAAGGCTTGCCTACGGCTAAATGCCAATGAACACCTGTTGGTAAAATACTTCACATCTGTTGGCTTGTCGTTGAAGTAGAAGTATGGGGCTTTGTAACCTTTTGCTGGCAATTGCTTCAAGGTACTCCTTAATTTAGATGAAACTCCAGATCTATAGTTGAACCAATTTTAAGTAGTGGAAGTTTGTATCTTGCCTCCCTTTGTATTTGGGGACTCCTTATTTGTGCTACACCTGAAACAAAGCTTCATACTTGTTTTAGTTGTATTGGATTGTCATTTTGATTCTCTAATGCTCCTTGGTACATTAATGTTTAATTCAACTTTGGCATAATTTTTTCTATATATTGCATCAGAAAGATTACTTTATAGAGTAGCTCTGTGCTTGATAGGGAATGCATATGGAAACTGATGCAAAGTTTTATTGTATGCCCAGATCAAGACGAATCCATGTGTCCTTGTGTGTGAGCATGTGAAAGTTTATATTATGCTTTTGTGTGATTGTCAATATGAAGGTTGGTTTTGGCTATAGAGTCTTTAGTCCTTGGTCTAGCAACCAGAATGTTTGATAAGTTAAAAGATGTGAAAACATAAGATTTTTGTCTCTGTTGTGCAATCCATGCTCTCCATTGGTTTTCTGCATGCCCAGCAAAGTTCTCCACAAACTAAGACGTTTAATGCAAAAATTTATTACTCCATATCACGTTATACACATGAGACATGCTAGATGAAAATCTTTCGAGCTGAAAATATTGTTGCTATTCAATTTCAAACTTCTTTTCTCTTCTATTCAAATGTCTGGTCTCTAGTTTGTCAAATTTTTGCTTTAGTGTTCTTGATGACCATCTTCAAGTACAATGTCCATGGAACTGGTACGCACACAATGACACAAGTATGCACATATATTGGACAGTTTGATATGTTTATTATTTATGAATGCTTCTTATGCGCTAGAACTAATGTTTCGAGTTACCACATTCCGGGAAATACCTGAATCGATTGTTCTATATTACTGCTTCTTGCCTTAAGAGTTTAGATTGAAGTACCTGAATGTGCATTATGCTCTAATTGCCTTTTGTCTTAAGAGTATAGATTGAAGTACCTGAGTCGATAATTCAGCTAATTTCTTACTGCTGATTTGTGAATATGATACATAATATTCAACTAGCATTGTAGTAAATTACTATGCCATTGTTGTTATACTTTATGTACACTTTGTTTCTTCTGCGAAATCTGACTGTGAGTGCTACTGTCAAACTATACTGCGTGAATACTCGCACTTGCTTGTGTGTTTTTGGGTTATACACTAGTAGTCTGTTGCATGACTCGCATCTTTGTATCAGTAAAATGCTCTTGCTTGTGCCTTGTAGGGATATACACTAGTACTCCTTTGTTGTAATTGATGCCTTAATTAAACTTCAGCTGTTAATTTTGTATCAGATATTTCTGAATTTATCTGAACAGGATCTAGCTTTAGGTGCACCTGAAATCCGAACTTAGCTGATGAACTGAGCTTATTTGAACTTACTAGCATTGAACTGAGAAATTTAGTTATCTGAACTTATTACCATTAAACTCAGCTTATCTGCATCTTATCCTGAAGTCCTGAACATAACTTATGAGCCATAAACTAAACTGATCAGTATCCATTATCTGCCACTTTTTCTGGTTTGCTATTCTTGGGTTCGGGAATCAATCTCTGCACACAGCTTGTTCCAGTATCGTTCTTTACGACCGTGTCTGATCTGACCTTGACATAAAGTAACTGTAAGTCATGAACCACAGTTGGTTATATGTTTCTGCTAGTGTGGGCTTTAGGCCTGGGAGCTCGTTCAGGAATTTGGAGTTTTATTTCTGCTTGTTTTTTTCCTTATGTAAAAGCTGTGAAACTTGTAAGACTCGAATTTTAAATTTTTGAAGAGATAAGGTTTATCAACATCATTTGAGAAACTTTAAACTTTTAAATTATGGATTAACTTAACACTTGTGGATCGCCATGTGCATGGTAAATCTGGGTGTATAGTAGATTCTTTAACTAATGTGTAGACATTAGACATATAGTATAAAGTGAATCTTTGGTGTTTAGAGAGTTACAAAGACGGGTGATGAGAATCGATCCCAAGATCTCCTAGAACCAATAAATGAACTCTAACCACTTGAGCTACACAACTCACTCTTGTGTATAGTGAATTTGGGTGGATAGGTTTTACTATTGATTATACTATTTCTGTTACATATTATTTGCAATGATTAGACATTTTTCTTCTCTACTTTATGTCAAATCGTTGCAAATAATATGTAACGGAGGTAGTATGAGAAAAGACTGACTTGTGTGCTTTGAGGAGTTTGAGAAAGGTAGGGTATGTATGAAAACAAATGGTCTGACAAAATTTCCAGTAAAACTTACTGGCACAGCATTATTAGCATGGGGTGAAGTGACATGAACATTCTCATGCCTGTATTTTCAAAACTTACCCTCCGAATTTCAAGGTTTTCTTTTCTATCATTTATGAAATGTGAGTAGCATAGTTCTCTGTTGTCTATGAAGTCATTTGAGAATCGATTTTAGGTCTTGGTTGACAAGCTCTTAGATTTTTTTAACTAACTAAAGAGGATTAAATCTACAATTTTTTTCCTAGTGTCTTTTACATAGTAGTTGATTAAGTTGTACGTGTGATTTTCATGGGGAAGATGTAGCAACAATCAAGATTGGTGAATTTAAAAACTTCAACATTGATTAAAGATATGCTCGAGTTTATAGCATACCGCTGAGTATAACAATAACGATTTAATCCTAAAATGGTTTGAAGTCGACTAATGTGAATCATCATAAGGAAGGAACCGTCTATTTTAAAAAGAGAGCATAGCAAGATAATTGATTGAATAAAAATTTGACAAAAAAAAAAACACGAGAAGAGACATTCACGACTAGGAATGGGTCATAGCTAGATAGAGAAATGATGCCGGATTTTTTATAGAAAGTATTTGTTGGAAGGAGAAGGCCTTGAATTACACATTGTTTATAAAGAGGTCCCCTCCATAAACAATAGGATGGAATCTAGAATAGTAATCCATGAAGATAGGTAATGGGGACAGATTGCATGAGAATCCTTGGTAATGAAAAGGATGTCACTCTTAATAACTTAACTCCAATCTGGATATGGTGTGGTTATTGGGTCCATCTAATGGCCTATTTGATTGAACCTCTACATTAGACATCTTTTTCATTTAGGGATGGACCAATTTCTTGTACTACTTCTTGTGTGGATCTTATTCGTTCTTCTTATTCTTTCTCAATCTTTTCCTCCCTCGATCTCATCCCTAACCTAGAAAAATATTAGGCGGGAATGTCTTTTTCTTATTTGAACTACAAATCATAAATTTAAAATTAGATAAACAACGGATCGGAGTAGTTGTTGATATCAATTAATTAAGATGATAATTGAAAACTCACTCTATTACATGTGGAATATTTTGTTAATTATTATTATTTAAAAAAAAAAAGAATTAGCCTTTTTAATTGAAAAGTAACTTCCCCCCCCCCCCCAAAAAAAAAAAAAAATTTAATTGCAAATATGTTTTTTTTTTTAAAAAATAAAATATTTTATGATTAAAATTTGTCTATGCTTGGAATGTGTTGTGTCTTCTTTGGAACATTGTACGATTTCATGAAACCTAAATTGTCATGATCTCCATAAATTCTTCAATTCGTTCTTAATAATGTTACATATGTCTTGCGTGATCGATGCTTATTAATTACATAATACTTTTACAATCTTTTATTAGTTTGTGATGATGACTATTACAAGTATGTGTTTTTGTAAATTTATTTTTTTTTAAAATGTGTTTTTGTAAATTTATTTTTTTTTTTAAATGTGTTTTTGTAAATTTATAGAAGAGGAATTCAATTTGTTACATTAGATATTAGAACGTGTAAAAGCCACATGAATGGGTCTTCAGTAGGTTATTGAAAATCATAATCTCTCTTTTATTAGCAAATACTCCAAATAAAACCTTGTTTAGATCACTTATAGCCGTTATAGGCATATGAGTAGTGAAATGACAAATATCCTTTCTTTTATTTTTTTCAAAATTTGAACAACTTGGGAATATTGTGAAACACAAATTCTCTTAAAATACGTTAATTTATTGTAAGACGGTTTAAAGTTACAAATATTTAAACTTATCCATTATATAAATTATCACTTGATGTTAATGGTTTTATGTAAATATCTGATGATATGATACTTTCATACAAAATTTTAAAACTTATAATGCAAGAAAAAATAAAGTAGGCATTTTTGGAGAGCATTGGGAGCGCCACATAAGAAAAGGTATATTTTCGACCAATTAAAAATTAGATTTTTATTTTATTTTAGAATTAAAAAAATTACTCGCCACCTAAACAAAATTTTGAGATGTAAGCCCGTGCGATGCACGGTTCTAATAAATTATTTTATTAATTTAAAATTTTGTATATTTATGAAGATCATTCATTAAATATACGGATAGAATTTCTAATATCATAAGATAATTTTTTAATTTTAACGCTAAAGTTATATTCTGTTGTTTTATTAATTTTATGTGACGCTTGAATTTAAAATCTCAAACCTTATTCACTAATTTTTCTTATGTGACAATTTAAATTTTCAATTCATAAAATAAATGACAAATCTAGTTTTTTTATTGATAAAAATAAGTCTTTTGCCTATGCGTTTATTTAATATACTCGTTCCGTTTAAAATGGCAGTCTCATTTATAATCGTTTAACTATTAAAAATTATGGGAAATTAGTCATATGAGATTTAGTTTTATTCGTCTCGACGAGTACATTATTAAAATCAAACTTTTATAATATTTTCTAGGGAAAGATTAAAAATATTTGCGATAAAAAAATTGCATCCATATATGAATTAAAAATTTAAATTGTCACATAAGAAAAATTAGTGAATAAGGTTTGAGATTTTAAATTCAAGCGTCACATAAAATTAATAAAACAACAGAATATAACTTTAGCGTTAAAATTAAAAAATTATCTTATGATATTAGAAATTCTATCCGTATATTTAATGAATGATCTTCAAAAATATACAAAATTTTAAATTAATAAAATAATTTGTTAGAACCGTGCATCGCACGGGCTTACATCTAGTTTTTCTAACAATTAATTTTCCCTTGTAAAAAACTTATAATGTATTATATTAATCCTATTAACCTTTATATTAACTAATCATGAATTTATAAGAAATTACACATTAAAATAAAATGTAAATCAACGCAAATTAAAAGTTATCCTTGTTTAAAATTATCATAAAAATAGTTAATGTTATTCTCAAAATGACCGTCTTACAATAAAATTAAAGTATATT